TACACGCAAGTTTAATAAACCTGATTAGAAGATTTTTCTTTTTCGATTTTCCTTCTCCCGAAACATAATCAAATCATTTAGCCAAAAACTTATTCAAAACTCACAATAGCGACGCGCTCAAATGCCCACAATTCGTGGCAAAAAAGGGGGTTGGGCGGAAAAGGGGTGGGTGGCTGAGGCAGGACCCTTGCATTGTTGTACACAATCCATCATTATCGCATAGACTTCCGCTCAAAAAGGAAACGCGGGGAGTGCCAACAGTGCATTTACATCTGCGCACTCTGCACTCCGAAAAAATGAATACAATCTATTCAAACTATCAATTCAAAATATATATACAATTTTTATTACAAATCACTACCATAAAATATTTAAGAAATGGTAAAATATGTTCTTTTACACATTAAAATTAAATTGAACACTCTAAAAATTTAATGCTCTAAATATTAAAATTATTACCTGTTTTATGATGATTTAAGACACGAAACAGTACATATTGTTTAAATTTTACTTACATAGAGAATAAATTCTTAATTTATTATTCAGCTACTTACCAAATAAAAAGAAATAATAAATAGTTGGCAACAAAGAATTGACAACCAAAGATGTTGGTTTTGCATACATTTCAAAATAGAGACTACCGTAATATATCATTTATCAATTTATATCATTTTTGAGGATATCTTTAAGACAATCTTTGCTCCTACATTTCTTTAAAGCCAATTTTTAATTAATTGTATTTTTTAACAATGCCTTTTTGATTGGTTGATGGTAACTTGAGAACCTTATATTTTTCTCACTGGTTGTGGCGCTGCTTTTGGTCTAGGTCTCCTTGGATCGTCCTTCTTGCAACACCCACTCGCCTGGCACACACAACTACAGTTTTCAAACACAAATGTATGTACGTACACCCAGACACGCAAATTGCCGGGTCGTGAGCACGTGTCTGGCAGCCTTCGCTGGGGATTACGGCCGAGTCGAGTCGAGTCGTTCAGTGAAAGTGAGCCGCCAGGATCCACAGGACTCAGTCAGTTGGTCGTCGTCTGGTCTGGCCAACTCTACCCTGCCTCCTGCCCCCAGCGAAGCCCCCGAAAACGTTGCATTCGCCAGCAGTTTTCTATAATTTGTGTTGCCCTTCTTGGGGGTTGTCCTGACGGTTTCGTTTTTTGTATTTTTGTTGTGGCGGCTGCGGTTTATGCAAATTAGCAAAGTTAACATTTGCCAAATTGTCGAAAATTTCATTTGGCCAGCTCATCCTACGGAAGGTCTGTTTGTTTGCCTTTGCAGGGCAGACATATAAATATCAGCATATCAGTTTCATCACTTGTTAAATTTTTTACCTTTCGCCATTAAATTCTATATTCTCTTTAAAGTTAAGTTCTGGCGAAGTATGTTTCCAGGAACCTCTGCTCATTTCGCTACTAAATCATCTATAAACCTAACATTCATATTATATATCTCTATTCTCTATTTACTGTCAATATTTTTTTAATGTGTTTTTAGTTATTTTGGTTTATGCCATGTCACCTTATTTCGAATAAATCCCTTTAAAAGCTATATAATGATAAGTATACTTTTTCAGAAGCGGTTATTTTTAATAAATCCTAATCCACAAGTTAAAGGAGCGAAGCATGCGGAAATGGGAAATGCGAATTTAGTAAAAGAGAGCTGTGAAATCAAAGCATTTCGAATTCTTTTGATCAGCAATGTGTTAGGGGATATAGACGTGACGCCCCTCCCAAGACCAGCCCTCGAAAACTCCCTATTTTTCCAACTTTATTAAGGCAGATCTTCGGTTGTCAGCCGGCCAAGTGACAAAATGCACCTGCACACGAGTATTTTTCCAAAAAAAAAGGAAGGGGCGGAAAGCCGGGCGGCATTCTGGTCGTGAGCAGCTATCTATCATAATTAGATTTCGTTCTGTGCTGAAATGTCGTAACGGGAACGAAGTGCGTGCACATAAATTAAGTGTGGAGTTCTTCCAGACCGCACTTTCCCCATTTCCCCATTTCCCTCCCACGGGCACGGCAGCAAATAGAGCGCCTAATAGGATTTTATTTAATTTCCGTCGCCCAAGGATTTTCCTAATGAGTTTTTTAACCTGCACAGAGGAGCTTCCCATTTCCCCAAGTCACGTGGATGGGGCCCCAAACTGCGCCCAAGTGAGCAGTCCCCAGAATATTTGAATAGAAATGAAACCTTTGGATCAGGTGGAGTTGGAGCCACGTCCCAGCATAAACACGACTTCGGTTTGATAAACACAGCTCAGAAAAGGATGCAGAGGCCAGGAATCTGTTTATCCTTTGTCTGGTTTCTAGGATATAGCTACTCGGCTGCCTTTGTTGCTGTTGTTTGGCAGATGCTGCCGTTGAGTTTGGCGAACTTGGCCTGGGATTCCTTTGTGTCTGTCCCTCCGTTTTCCGAACGCCCCGCGCTTTTCCCAGCCCCCTGGAAAAGCGGGGACAATGGCTTCAGCCAAGTGGATTGCCCTGGGAGCGCAATTTTTCTCTGTATTTTCGGTGTGAAATTTATGCTGCACTTGGCTAATTTAATGCCATTTTTCCACAACATAACCGGCGGAAAGGGTGCAATTAAATGCAAGAGGAATTGATATGATTTGTGCCGCGATTTGCATAAATTAGCATACAATGCGTGCAGTTGCTGGCACTTAAGCATAATTAGATACATGCCACCGTTTGTTTAGGTAATTAAATGCATTCCAGTCAGGTGTCTTGGCCATAACTATCCCTACATTACAGTGTGTTACGAAAGTACTAGAAATAGTTACTTGATGTGAATATTATTTTTTTAACTTATTTAAAATCTATATTTTGAATGTTTGAACTTTAAATCGTTATATGATATTTGGGTCCTTATTTTTACCTATCTATATAGGCAGCACACTACTCATCCACATTTTATTCAATAACAGACATACAAGGATTTACCAATCAATAAAATCATTGAACTATACAAATGTGTTTACGTATGTATTTATACAATGCAACCTTTCATCGGAATTTCCTTTGATATTGGCTAAATTGAAATTAAATTATTCCTTTCTACAAAAAAAAGATATGAATTCGTAATTTTTATTTAATGTTCAAGGGATTAAATTCCATAAATGGCTCCGGATAGAATCAACATTGGTTGTAACTACAAATGGATTTTTTTAAATGCGAACCATTTGAATGCCTGGCAAATACTCAATCAATTTATAGTTTTTGAAGGGGGAGTGAGACCTCATCCCCGCGTAAACTGCGCAGTAAATTCAATCAGTGCAGGCACTTCAATAAATGGCGAATCCTTTCGCTCGAATTTGAATATTTGACATTTTTTGGGGGAGAAGTACGGACTTGAACCCACCCCTTCATCCCGAAAAATAGCTATGATGCGGAGGAGATTATGAATTCATTTATAATAATTTAGTTTGAGTTATGCGCGGAACACTGAAACCCACTCAGCTCGGAATCCCATAATGAGCATATTCTATTAGTCGGGGAGGCGTTCCACCCTTAAGACCTCGGGGTTGGAAATTAACAAAGCCCGGATCCTGGACACATGTTGCATTCAAATGTCGTTTTCGATGGAGTCTGGGTAATGCCGTGTTGTGACAAACCCCAAATCGCCCAAACTGACGGACGGGCAGGCGGGGAATCCCTTTGAAGCCGATAAACATTTGCACCCGCAACCACCAAAAGCGACAGCAACAACAACACATCTTTTGGGGGCAGGAGAACTCGACTGCATCACCATCATCCGACAGACAGACAGACAGTCAAAAGGATGTGCCAGGAAGTTGTTTGGACGGGCATCAAAAAGCTTTGCCCAACTCCTCCTGATTTCCATGGCTTTCCCTTTTTTCCTTGGCACTGATAACTGACACGCAGTAGCAACTGGAAAACAGGAGATGTATTTGTTTAGCATAATGGATTTAAGCCACTCGGTGTTTCGGCACTCGTATAATTGAAAATCGAATCAAATCGCGTTCCATTTAATCAACTTAGGAACTCTGGAAACTCGAGAGCCGGCAACTCCTAACTCCAGCTCGGATCGGGTTCACAACTCCCCAGGCGAGCGAGGAAATGGAAAAATTAGCACAAATCCATGTGATAAACTGGCTACTATTTGCTTTGAATCGAGTTACCCCACAAAATCCCCCGAACCGCGAACTCCGAGGCAGGAAGGCCGGTGGGAGAGGCCACTAAGCGCACAGGAAGCCCATTGGAGCGGATGCCACGGCTCCGGCCATCTAAACTCTAGACTCTAATGCACGATTAATGCCCAATCCCAGACGCACTGTCCCCACCTCCATGTATGCGATGTGCACTTCCTAGTGAGTACAGGGCAACTACTAGAGCGCGAACTTAGTCATCAAAGCCTTATGATTCGACTTAAATAATGTATCTTAACATATCCACCCTTAGGTTTCCAAATATATTTTAAGATTTTACTAAAAGTGTTTATAAAAATATATCTTCCTATTAAATGATAACGATAAATCAAAAAAATCTTTTGGATAAGATAGTTACGAATAGAAAATATATCTACATATTAAAATGATATTGATAATTTCAAAATATCTTTTGTATAAGATAGTAACGAATAGAATACGAACTAGCTCTTGCCTTAGAACATTCTATTGAGTGTATGTTATCATATTAGTACATATTTCTACAAATTTGAAAATCTGTTCAAATAAATATCGACATAAACGGAGAAACTACTATAGAATATTTTACCCCATGATTTCTAAAATTACTAAGTTCCTGCAAGCTCAAGTTGAAGGAGTACCACTGTATTTGGCTTTAGATGTAGCCGAAGTCGGGGGCGAATGTCGATGGCATGTCCATTTCGAGAAATTAAGCCCTGTAAGCGGCTTTCATGGGACTTTGCCTCCGACTGTCGCCCATCTGGCCACTTGGGCCATGTGGAGCTATGTGAGTTCGCCACTGGAAACGGAATTAAGATGGAGTCACTTTAGTTGACGACCCTTTATTTGATACCATCAAAGTCATCGCAGTGTAAGCAGATTTGCCACTTGTTTACTTGTTGGAGCGACGCCGGGAGTTGCCGAAGATGCGCAGGTGCTTGCTGCGGTTGAGTTCCCTGGCTTCGCGTTGGCTCAGCTCGTAGAGCTCCTTCTCCAGGCGCTGGATGTAAGCTGCCATGGCAGCCGGCGGGAGAAGACTCAGTTCTGGAAGAAGTTTTCGGATGTTTATGGAGCCATCACCTCGGCAAAGCACTCACCATACATCCTGCGAAAGTCCTCCTCGCTCTTCTTATCCTGCCCACCTGCCGCCTCCTGCTCCTTGTCCTTTTCCTCGTCCATCTCGGCGATGATGGAGTCCACTTTCTTTTGATCCTGCTGACCTTCCTCGTCGCTCTCCCCATTGGAACTGCCGCTGTGTTCGGGCTTTTCCACCTCCAGTTCCGCTGGGTCCTCCTCCAAGAACTCCTCTTCGCTGGGGCTCTCCCTCTTAATGGATTTCCGTATAACTTGTTCCATGTTTCCCCAGAATTATTAAGTTTTCAATGTGTTTTTTTCCTCTTGTCACCCACAGAGTCGTATTTTATGTTGAGGTACAGCCTTGCCAGCTTGATATTGCCTAATTGACCTTACCACCTCGCTAATAGAATATACCAAACAGAAGGGACCCAAGATACTAACTTTTATAGACTGGAATGGGAGCCCTGGAATGACAGGCTTAAATCCCTAATATTGAGCCACCCTCGTCGAAAGTTTCTCGCCTAATGAGCTGTACGAAATTAATTGTCACCGCAGGAGGGTTGCCATCTTCAAAACGAATGCGTAATATGCAAATTTTCAGGCATTGCCAGGGTTGCAGCCAAGGTCAACGAAAGAAGCCCTGCAAAAACTGGAAGCCGGCCATTAGAAAGCGTTTTCAAAGGACTCGGCTTCTTGTAAACAATCCATCAGCAGGCGTTCTCCACCCCAAAGGAAGAAAATCACCTCACCAGCCCAAGCAGCATTCTTTACAGTGGTGATGTCTAGATTTATCTTAAGGGGGGTTTTTAAAAGAACTTGGGGATGAATGAAGATCATGATTCAACACAGAATGTTTAGTATGAAAAGTATGATTTTTTGTAATAATTTAGAAGCTTAATATTTTTTAACAGAGTTTCGGGGCCTTTTAAGCCCTTTAGTTACTTCTTCACTACCTCCCTGCTTTTTGGCGCACGTGTCCCTTTGCTTTGGTGGCGGCTTAACAGCCAAAGGACTTGGACATGGAATATGTGTCGTGATGGTGACAAAGGGACGCGTGCTCATTACTCCCCTCTGTCCATGTGTTCTGTCTCTTTTCGTGGCTGCTTTATGGACAAAGTTTTCGGGCAAAGTATCGTTTATACTTGGGACCGCGACTCATGCAAATTGAACAAGTTAAACTTTTCAGAGGGGTCGCGTTCGCCACCACCCCGCCTCCCAAGAAGTACGTACGATATTCCCCAGGGTGGCTGGCGTCTGTCTAAACAGTGTTTGCACTGTACAATGGGCCCCATTACGCTGCAGTTTACTTCCAAGGACTCGGCCCTGTGCCCGTGTTATCATCCATCCGGCACGTGCCACTCACATCGGGGGCATGGATGTGGCATGGAGTCCCACTTCTGTCTGCTGCTGACTTTGATTTGTTCAAATCGCTGCTCAATGGATGTTTACATGGTGCAGACAAAAAAACAAACAAATTATGTAAATTTATAGTATAGCCTTCTATATTCTAGGAACCATTGACACTTAAGCAAAATTGCTGAGCAACTTCTGTAGAAATTTTAAATATTTTATTAAGTGAATTTTAAAATTGTGATCTGATTTTCCTCTCTGTATGCAAAAAGACGCAGTAACCACTGTGACAAGAAAACCGCCTGAGGCCCAAACAACCCAAACAAAGAGCCGGAGTGTCGGCCAAAACAAACAGGCTAAACAGAAACAGAGACAGAGACTAGACGATAAGTTGGTGGCAGGACATTGTCCCAAATCCGGAGTTGACCCTCGACCGGCTGAACAAGAGTCCTTTGCCAAAACTGCAGCTGCACCGCTTAAATTGAATTTGATGCCAAGTATTGGCCATTTTAATGAACAACATTTTCGCAATTCTGCCATGCAAATGGCCCATTTAATTGGATTAACGCACATTTCCGCTGCGCCGCTGGCCAATTTATCACAGCTTTATGTATGTTTATGTTTATTTATGTTGCATTTTAATTATGCGCCACAGTTGGAAGTGTGCCATGCGAAGATGGAGATGCGATGCGGATGTTTGCCTCGGTGCAGTTGCTCTTTCTTTCCTACCTTTGAAATCCCCCAGCCCAGTCTCTTTCTCTCCTTCCTGATTTACTGGCTGATCCGATCCATTGTGAACGGCTGTCGATTGCAATCGATACGATCCATGGCTTGTACATATATTTTTAGCACCTCCCCGCTTCCCCAGAGATCTGTCAGCCTGGTGCGAATATCTGATTCGGGATGGCGGGTAATTTGAAGTCTTGTTTGCGGTTCGCTAATTTCATTGCTTCAACGTCGATTACAGCGATTGTTGTGCATCGATAGCCGAACCAAGGCGAGTGAAAGTAGCAGTCCAATTCGGCACAAAAACATAGTTTTGAGGCTAACATATTTTCTATCAACCGGACCCTATTTGTATACCAGTTACTCGTAAGGTAAAGGGTGAATTGTGTTCGCCGTTAAGTAAGTAACAGGTAGAAGGAACCGTTTCCGACCTTATAAAGAATATGTATTTCTGATCAGGATCACTAGCCTAGTCGATTTAGCCATGTCCGTATGTCCATCTGTCTGTCTGTTCATCGCTGAGATCTCGGAAACTATAAAAGCTATGATGCAGATCTCGGCATGCAGACTCTTGAGCTTCTGGAACAGCGCAAGTTTATTTCAACAGCTTAATTTTGTAAAAGTGTTAATGTTAATGTGTTTCCAAATAGGACCATTCATTAAAAAGTTATAAGCATATACAAAAACCTACGCTAGGTGGCGCTAACTGCTTTCCCGCCAAACTAGAGGGTTTTTCAACAGTGGTAGAACTAAAGTTTCTTATATTCAGCTGTTTAACACCGTCTAAAATTATCAGAACTATTAATCAACGTTGTGGCAAGATCTGACAAGAAAAAAAAAAACAACTTTTATTTTGAAAAGTTCCAATTATCCTGTATTGGGTATTACTTTTGAACAGAGCATCGGACGCGTCTTTTCAGTTGAAATTCAACTAGTCTAATAAAATGTATGCCCAACGGGCCAAACAGATCCATTTTTGTTTTAAAGCAATTACAGTTTTTAAAGTCAATCCTCTAAGTTTTTGCGATACCTTTTGATTGGTGTGTCGCTCGTTACCATCGGACCATCACAGCAGACTTTCAATTCTGCGGCTATATATAGTTGTCGCCTTCCCACACTACCGGTACGCTTCGTCACTACTTGAACTGCCGTCCAAAGTGATAGCTGTTATGCAAACTATTCATATATTTTTGTAAGTACAAGTCTGACGCATACGTACAAATACACGGTTTCTGTAAAATACTTTTGATATTAATAGTATATGGTTCTACCGATAATAAAAGAGCAATGGAATTATGATTTTAAACTTTCTAAGTAATAAGAATGAATTAATTGGAAAACGAAATAACGTTCTGATCTCAGCGACTGGAAGGTTGAAAAATAATATTATACACTTTACAAAAAACGATTTATAAAAGCATTTTTGATAAGATGTTCTAAATGTAAACTGCAAAACATATAGAAAAACACGCTTTGATAGTTACCAATCTGATAAATTTCTCTTCTGAGCCCCAGGATTTGGGTGGCCTCAGAAGCAAATGAAAGGCCCCGTTTTTGCTGTCCAGTTTGACATAGTTGAAGAATAGCATGAACCTATGAATGAAGCAATGCCTGGGGACCCGACGAGATGGAAAGTAGAATCGGTTGAAAGGCTGCAGCTCCTTCAGTAAAACCAGCAACGGGCAATCCCTTCTGGAAATGGCACATGATTGGAACAGTCGGACTTGTCGGACACGGTTTAATGTCGTCTGTGCTTGCCGCCGACATATAGTATGAATATTTATAAAAGATACTTATCTTGCACCCTTTCGCAGGACAGCGCGTCCGACTCCTTGAATTAACGGTCGCATTTCTGGCTTATTAATTGCCCGCATACACGAACGCGGGTCCTGGGACAAAGTCCTTAGTCCTGGGTCCCCTGTCACTCGCGTCCTTGGCGACCTGTCGCCACCAAATGCAAAGCATAAAAAGCATAAATATTAAAAGCCTAATTAATTTTAGGTCGCCGGGCTGGGCTTATATTTTATTACAAAACTGAACGTCAATAATTGCACGTAGGCCGGCTGCAGGTGTGAATTATTCCAGTCCACCTGCCCTTGTCGTTGGAAATTGGCCGGTTTGTCACTTGAATATGCTGTAAAAATGCCTAAATAATTAAAGTAATTTACAAGGATTTCGTAGAAAACAGCTGCTGCACGGAAAGATATTTTATTGAACGTAAAAGTTTCATATGAAATCTCCCAAGTGCCTTTTTCCTTATTTTGCTAACATTTGTTAATGATTTCATAGTTAGCTAGTTTTTTTAAGAAACATGTTTGGCAAATATTTGTACATACATATAACAACAGAAAAATTTTATCGGAAATAATTTAAGTTCCATCTGATTTTCTTGCCTAATTAAAACTAACTAAGACCTAATCCAATGATGGTTTCCAAATAATTTGTAACCTGTCAAGGGTCGCGGAAATCGATTTTTTAAGACATTTTCATCACACACCCAATTATTACTTATATGCGTTTTTAATCGAGTTACATTGAGTTAATATATACATATTTTTTAATTTAAAAAATATTTTTTTCCGGTGCAGTTATTTACAAGTTTGGCGACAATTTAACAGAGCTGCATTAAGGCATTCCTGCAGCCCGACTTGCCCTTTCGACTGCCTTTGATTGATGAGTGGTGCATGGGCCGGTTCTCTCGAAATAGTCACCTGAAATTTGGAGCGAGGACTGGGGACCTTTGCCAAAGCTCAAACAGGTGAGTCTGGGGCAGTAAAAGTGGACCCACTTGCCGCACATCGCAATCATTTTATACACACATACCGAAGTCGAATGGAAGTGCCGCCGGCTTGTCTTTCAGCGTTGCAGGTGCACTTTGTTTCTGTCCCCGAGTTTCGATCTTAGCCATTCACCGTTTGTGGCTATCAGCGATATTGATGGATAACGAGTTTTTCAGTGCCGTGCCGGGAAAGTGGGTGAGTGCCAAGTAGCCGGCATCGTAATTCGCTTTTCCATTAATTGATATGCGACCGTTCCGTCCAGTTGCATTATTCATAATGTAGAGAAAACGTCCGCCACGCCGAGTCCAATCTAATTTCGATTTTCCAGCATTTTCCCTTTGATCTGCTGGCCGAGAGATCCCAACTGTCAGAAACGCAAAGAGCAGATCCTTTTAGGCAGCATCCGCTTGACAAAATAGTGCCTTTGAAGAAATTAAGTTCCTGAAGCGGCTAATTATAGCGGGTTATGGGGCAACGTTGCCGGAAAGAGGAAGACATTTCCTTTAAAAACACAAAAACACCAACCGTGATTCTCGCAAAGTTGTTAAAATTGATGGGCCAAACTGGCGCTCCATGACTTTTGACCCACATCGCTGACTTCTCGCCTTACCTCGTGGCAAAAATCGAGGGAAGATGCGTCACAAGCTCTCGAATGGAATGGGTGAATTGGATGGGATTGGAG